TGATGTCAAGCTGGGTTATAGCACAGAGCCCTAAGTTGAACTAATCACTGTTACTTTTGTTGTCAGGAAGAATGAAGCCTCTTCCAGAACACCAGCCATCTCCATGACTTGCCAATCATTGAAGAACAACCAAAATGGCAAAAGATCTTTACACCATTTGAAAGCTGAAGATAATTTACAAGTTGATGCATGTGCTACATGAAAACAAGCAGGCTGTGAGCAAGCACCATGCTCATCTCATTAAAGCATTACACACCTTTTCTAGCTTTCATTTAGTTTCCTCTCAGAGAAACACAATCAGCTTGCTTAGTTTCCTAATGAGTATAATAGACAATCATGTAAAGTAGACTATTGCTTGGTAAAAATGCAGCGTAGAACTGCAGGCAGTCTATTAGATGTAAACTTGCTTAATTCTTTAATTATGTGTCTTTGATCAAAAGCAGCTCACTTGGAAAGAGTTTTTAAAAAGCGAAGTAATGAGTACTCACCTTTCATGCACAGCATTGACTGTTAGGCCAACCTGATATAACTGTGGAATCACTGATTGTACGTCAAGAACACCACTAAAAATTGAGATAATAAATGTTACTTACAGCTATTAAAGCTTTTCTTTTTCAGAGACACAGACCTGTAAGAGCTGTTCTGCACTTTTAGCTTTTCTTTCCATCTCTGTCAAGAATCTCAGTGAATTTTTAAAGGAGATAATTGAGGCCATTTATCATTTTTTTCTCTTCTTTGTCCTCAACCCCTTTCCTTTCCTCATTAACCTCAAAAAATCTCTACTGAAGATCTCTTTCCCATTACTTCCAACACCTTATACTGTTCTTTGGACTTCGTCTTCTGACGACCCTTAATCTAGACACAATCTCCTCCAGCCTCTCCTACCACTACTTACTTATCACACAGCTATCTCCTTCTCATCTCCTTCCTACCTGGTCCTCGAATAAGTTTTTTTCTGCTGAGGCTTGGTGTCTAAATGTGAACGTCCTGAAACGCAGCTATTCCCAAAGTAAGGACATGATCCCAAAGACATGGAAGACTTGCAAAAAACTAAAAACTAAAAATAAAAATAAAAAATCATTATTTTCTGTTTAGATTTTACAGTTATACTTAATTATTGGTCTAGAGAAGGCTTGAAAATTAGATGAGTTTTTGGCACCCCTGCTCAAACTTCAAATCATAGAATCATTTAGGTCAGTAAAAAAACACAAGATCAAGCCCAATCATCACCAAGTCTATCACTAAAACCTAAATGCCTCACACATGCCTCTGAAATATCTCCAGGGATGGCAAATTCACCATGTCCATTGGCTGTCTGTTCCAGTGTCTTGCTGCTTACCAGCTTCACTGCTGTTCTCTGCACACTCTTCTGCAACTCAAATCCTTCTTGTATTCAGGGGCACAAAACAGAATATAGAACTTCTAACAGTGTTGCACACAGAGGCACAGACACTTTCTTATTCCTGCTGGTCACACGGATTTTGCCCAGCAATTACCAAAATACACTTCATGCTTTACACAACTGTGTGATCTGCTTCCACGGTCACGTCTGTTATAAGGTTTCTGTAGGAAAGAGAATTTTTACATTGGAAAGAGAGTTCCTGATATGCCTTTATTCTCCATGTAAACAGGGTGGGAAGGAAGGGAAGGGAAGGGAAGGGAAGGGAAGGGAAGGAAGAAGGAAAACATACATATATAAAAAGGCTATTTTAACCTCATGTGTTCTGTTTATGTGATTAAAATTGTCCAGAATGTGTTCAGTTCCAGAAATACTAGACTGTACTTCTATATTATTCCTACTTTCAGTTTTTTTTTTTTCTATTTTAAACACGAGGAGTTAATTATCTGATACCCTTGTTATGACACATGCAAAACAATATCATGTTTTGCCACACACTATGTCAGAATTGCTCTTTTATGTAAAACCATATTTGAGTTCCATACGATTTCCAAGTGCCTCTAAGAAAAATCTCTAGGAAATCAACTCAAATTTATTTATTTTAAAGTCATACAATTAGAACAGCTCTCTTGACTTCTTAGTTTCATAGATCCTCTTCAGCCAAAATCGGCTAAACAGTTTCATTGGGTAATAGCTGCTTATCACAAAGCAAAGCAAATAGTTTTCATCAAATAAAGAAATTCTGTCTCATTCTGCCTCTTTCCAGACCAAAATATCTGTGGTATTTCAATCAATTTTTCAATCAATGACACATGTGCAGTAATGAGCTACTAATATGAATGTCTATGTCTAGGTATGGCACTGAAGGCAGACTGCATTTTTCTTTTTCTTTTTTTTTTTTTTCTTTTTTAATAAGATACAAAATAGAGAATTTGTATCTTACAAATCTAAACCATTTTTACAGGGCTGACAGATAGTTTTTGATTACACAGCCCTCAAATATTGTATGCAATTATAATTGTACTTTAGGTTCACAGTAAATTATTACACAGGGAAACAGTGCTCTTTCTGTTTGAAAACATAACTGTAAAAATACAAATATGTGAGATTGGAGAGTGACAGCTTAGAATGGAAGTAAACACCAGTGTTTATGATTTTTTTTGAGTCACTACTGTAACCCAGAAATCTAATTTATCAGTGTGTTAGCAGTTTTACAGAAGCAGTGCTACCACATGTTTTTTCTCACTTTGTGATTTACTCATTTGTTGATTTCTGCACAACTTCACATTCTTCTGCAGTACTGATTTTGCTTATACATCAGGGTTAAAAAAGAAAAGTTAAGAGCCTGATGCAATTCAGCTAGTTATGTCCTCTCACAGTTATCCTGCATGTATAGGAAAACAACAGGTAAGTATGCTCTTTTGCCAACTTATACATGTGTTCATGAACTACAAGGTTTTAGAGCAGAGAGATGCTACATACCTGCAGTAATATACTGTCATGCTTTGTTTCCAATGTGGAAAGATCACTTCCAGCTTAGTCCTCACTGTACATACTTCAAAGTTTTGCTTGCTTATTCATTGACTTCTCTGTGCTAAAACCCTGCTGTAACCTCTCCAATTTTATGAATTTCAGTGATTGTCTAAATAAGGAACATGGTTAACCACATTTCTTCTGTCATAATGGATAGACACTCCATCTTCCACATAAAGAAAGTCAGCACAAATCAAAACTTCTCTTTGATGGTTCTTATTTCTTTCTATTGGTAGTAAAGAGTTTGATGTTTAAATTATTGATGCTTAAAGAGACTAAGATTCTACCTTGGGGCTTTGAAAAAGCACCTGAATTTAGGTGGGATGAATCTTGTCCCTATGCACTACTGGCATACTGAAAGGGCTCTTTGCAGCCGTGGAATAGATGGTCATCTCATGAAATTTCCCACAGTTTGTCAATTACATTTAAAAGACTCAAAGCATTCAAAAGGTATTCCTTAAGTATTTAAGTTTTTCTGAAATGCTTCCCATTGAACCTATTATATTCAGTAGGTTTTAGAAGAAATAAAGCCAAGTGGAAAGAAAATAATAAAATACATGCATGTGATTGTCCCTCACTTTTACAGAATTTCAGAACCAAAGATTTTTTTAGTTTTCCCCTCACTCCCCTTTTTTTCCACTGACTTCTTAATTAACCACTATCAGGAACAAAGACATAAATTACTAGACAAGAACAGACCTTTATTCATTAGTGATATGAGAAATGTAAGGGAAAATACTGCTTATTCAAGCCAGGAAGGGACAGAAAAGGGATTAAGCTTCCCTTCTAACAAAAACAGGAATATTTTATTTAACCTTGCTCTCACTTCTTTCAATTTCCAATATGATGAATCAGTAAATGTTCTTATGTCCTATTTTTACAGTGTAATGTAACGGCTGAAAAGTCATGACCTAATAATCAGAATGAAAGACTAAGAGTATGGGTTTTGTTCCCTTTCTTGATTCAAATAAGCTCTCTGAACTTATAAGGCTTTTATCTTTTCTATGCCACTGTTTCTATGTCTGTATAATAAGGATAATAACACTTTCTCATAAGGTTACTGGAAAGTTTAATTCATTAATATGTGTAGAGTATCCAGCAATTCTTAGAATGGCAGTGTAGAAATGCAAAATATTATTAAACTGTCAATTATTTTCCTATAAAATTAGACCCTTTTGTCTAAAAGCAAAAACAATCAATATGACAAGAAAACTGAAAACTTTTAAGTATAATATCAAAGACTGTTTATAATGATGAGGTTGTCAACTGACACCATGTACTGCAGAAATTACAATTCAAGAAGACTGCAGCATGCCCACAAAGTATTATTTTGGATAACTTTGTTCACATTTATATGCATTCCAGTGTTACTATCACGCCAAAAAGGAACTTTCAAGAGTCAAAGAAACAAATGCACCCCTGAGAAATATTTACCAGTTTGACAGATCAAAATAAACAGCTTCTATTCTAAATTTTGGTTGGATGTTACAGGAGTTAAAGTTCAGAATTCTTCAATGGATATTCAGAAGTATTAAAGCACAAGTTTCAAGGAACTGTACCCAGAGAGTTGAACTACCAGAATTACAGAAGATTATTAAAGAGATATTTGATACCTGTAAAAAGACTAAGATTTTATCTCACAGGAGTTCTGGCAAGCAGTGTCGTTATGTGTTATAATAAGGAATGACTATAAGGCATGCATCACCTGGGGAATAAGCAGAAAGTTGACAAAGATGATGAAGGGCAGATTTTGACAAGGACTTTTTTAGTCAGGTTGAGTTCCTTATAACAGAAATTGCGTTTGAAGAAGGAAGGCTGTGAGCCAGGGTGGTAACATTAATGAATAATCCAGATATGCAGGAAAAATAAAACACATTCTTTTAACCATATTACTTTAGATATGGAACCATGGCAGGAACTCAGTATGCCTCCTACCCTCCTAATCTCAAAATGCAATCACATAAATTTGGCAACACTACTTCTTCTCTAGCAGTGAATTGTACTGCGTACTGAGGAATAAGCTCGTATGTGAAAGGGTTGTTAAAATTCCTCTCACCGTATCTCTTACCTTCAAGGGAGCAAAGACCAGATGTTACCTTTAACATAGATGTATTGCCACTGAGCCTCAACCACTGTTTGGTTCTCCTGCTCCCATAGCAACTGCTATTATGTTCTAATAATATGATTAGAAGAAAAGAAAGTACTGCTTGAATGACTGAAAAGTGACAAAAGTATTTTATGCCAACTCTGATATGGGTGCCTTTCTTTCCACTTGGTTTTCTAGAAAATGCAACTGAAAACACTACTGATGACATCAAGAGAAAAGGAATGAAATACATCAAATGATGCATGGTGGAAGAAATACTGCTGTCTTGTATTCGCAAGGTAGCACTCTGCTAGATAGCAGAGTGACAAGTGTGCCTTAGAAAAGTATAGATCAACTGATATAGAAGAGATCTGAATGACTTGCAAACCAAGTGATCCTATAGACATGCAAAGAATTAGAATTCCTGTATAAAATGTTCAAGCTGGGATATGTTATGATCGAAATAAAAAGAAGAAACAGTGACAGAACAAGGAAAATAATACACAGTTGCAAAATGAAATTCAAGATAGTAATTCAGCTGAAGTCTGCTGATCCCACAAAGCACAAAAGCACAACTCAAAACAACTCCTGAATGACAATGAATGACTGAATTCCAGCATCAGTTTTTCAACTAAAATCAGGATGCAACGTTAAGCAGCATCTTAAATCTGTTTCTCGCAGTCTGTAGTTGAAAAATGTCAAAAAGAGAAAGTGGCAGTAGCTACCATTTGTGAATTTTAAACAGATAATTAAATGAAAGAAAAGTTCTTGTACACAGAGAGGAGTTTTAAAAGGTTAATGAAGGTATAATAAAGGTGGAGATCTGACTATGTATGCAGTAGTGACTTGAAAAAACAAATCTTAATGATGAGCAGAAAAGAAAACTGATTAGAACCATTTCTGCTGAACTCTCACCTTCCCCTCTCAATGCACTTTTTCTGGTCATTTACATATGCATTAAATATACATCCGTATAAAATTGATTTCTAAATACACAGAGACATATCTAAAGATAATTTTTGCTACAAAAGATTGCTCAGCTGAAAACCCAGATGGAATATAAATACTTTCAAAGCCAGAGTCACACAGGATCTCAAAGAGTGACCATTTCTCATGACCCATTCTGAGTCAGTATGGGTACTAATAGATCCTAAACATGTTTATTAAAAACAAACAAACAACACCTAAGCAGTTTCTTTCAGCAACTTTCCTCTACCTTGTCAAATGACCATTCCAAGATAAAATTCTATGAAAATTTCAATGACTGTTTTATCTTTACTGAATTGCTGAAACTATCTAAATGTGATCAAAGCAAAAAAAAAAAAAAAAAAAAAAAGACTTCCACATTATTAGTTATATTATTATGCTTTACTTTTCCAGCCAGGTAACTTGGGTGGTAAGAGAGGAAGTAAATACAGACTTCCTCTAATTGACTATCAATTTACTGAAGATAGATAGAAATTTGATAGACAGCAAAGGTTTAAAAAAAGCATGAGAGTGTTTAGGTTAACACAACAGGCATTAAAAACAGTATCTTTGCACAAATATTATCTTAAGCTATACTCTTCATTCTTCAGAGCTCTTGAATAAATAAATGCAACATTCTGTCATTCTGTGACAGTTTCATGTTATCCTAAGTTTCTCATTTTCCATTTAAGTATTCCTGTGATAAAGTGCATCCTGTATCCTGCTTACAGAGTATATCATAATATCCAAATAATCTTTCTCTAACTATCTAAAAACTTATATTGAATCTTATGCTTATGCTTATAAGAATTTATTTAGAATAATTCAAACTGCAATCTGGATTAATTACAGCCTTATAAAATGAGCTCATTAAAAAATCTTATATTTTTGACTATATAAAACCTGTTAATGGTATTACTCTTTCCCTCAGGCTCTATTTCACAAAGTCTGCTTTGAAATATTGAAAGCTCCTTTGAATCTAAGTACCAAAGTGCCTTTATATAAATTCTAATGTAATAAGCATTTATCCTTCACTGCTGTAACACTCATTTAAGTTGTTTAAATAATAGTTGTTTAAATCCACCTTCTTCCTTCCATGGTAAGTAACTGCAGAGATACTCCTTGAAAATGAAATAAAAGTAAGGAACTCCAAATAAACATTTTTACTAACAGAATGGCCAAAGTATGAGGTGTAACTGAAAGATCCCTTAGCTCCAGATACAAGTGGCACTGTCTAAGATGACCTGAAAGACCTAAGATGTATGTTTAATGCTGTAAGGCTTTTCATCAACACAAAAAGAAATAACTCAGCTAAACTTACCTAGAATTAATGCATTAGGCCCAGAAGCTGAAAAGCGTGTGGTCACAGGACGGTGAATTTGTCTTTTTTTTGTGTATCTCTTTTTCAGGAATATTTGATTACCTATTTGGATTCTAAAATAGACTACAAAGATCTCAAGCTGCTAATATTCATGATTCCTCCAAGAAGCAAGAGAGAGCATCTATAAATACCACTATCATTGTCTCCTTTTCCTAAATGTGGCACCTCATCATAGAATAGAAAAGTAGTAGTGTAAAAACACATAAGAGTTCCTAAACCTCTGAAATATTTTCTGTGGGAGAGGAATCTTAGATGGTAGTAGTTTAGCATACATTTCATGAGGAATGCAGAGCGTCCTCAATAAATTTCAGCACTGGCAAGTGTATTCTCACTGATTTCACAATTGCTGACAGTTGTCAGTTGCCTAGTACTGTTACAAGATGATTGGAGTTGAGAGTAAGTGAAGTAGAGAAACTGCTTAAAAAGGGATAAGGAGAATAAATGAGTGCTCTGGTACCAAATGTGAAAAAAATATTAAAAAAAAAATATGAGCAGCAAACAGGCAGCAGGAAAAAGCCACATGGTAAGTCCGGGAGGAAGCAGCAGGACTCAGGTAGCAGCCCAGGAAAGTCTGTCAGCATGCAGGCAATCTGTAGTGAGGGATCTGATGGCAGACGCCTTTGTTCTTCTTCAGCATGCAGGCATCACGTCGTGAGGAATCTGCTGTCAGAAAATCTTCCTTCTTCTTTGTGAGAAATCTGTTGTCAGAAACCTTGTGGGGAAGAGCAGCAACAGCATGGCTGGCCTTAGATAGCAAGCAGGTAGAGTGTAGATCAAGTCCAGGAGGGAGAGAGGCAGATTGTGAGGCTTCTCATGTCCAAACAACCTAATCTCATGGCTGTTTGTCCCTTTTTTATTCTTCTTCTGCCAACGTGGCATTCCTGGGCACTTGCGTAAGAGTCATGTGCAGTACCTTTTGAGATAGCCATCTTCCTCGAGATAAGTCCACACAGAAGACTGCTTCCTGGCCATTAATCTGCAGCTTCTCTCTCTCTCATTGCCCTGGCCTTGTCTATCTGTGTTCCTCAGACAAAGGATTTTCCAACCTTTGCCCAGGACTTGTCCATCAGTGTTCTCCAGACAAAGGATTTCTCAACCCTTGGCCAACAGGCTTGGACTTGTTCATCAGCAAGCTTTGAGGCAATGGCATAAACGAATAATCTCTTACAGCAACATACAGTTTGCAGATGTGATCTATAAATAAACAGGCAGCGAGCTTGCAATGGGGTGCAGAGTAATGCACTGGTTGTAGGCTTAGCCAACTCAGTAACAAACACAATGACATGAGAAAGCCATATAGGAAGCCACACTGGCATGTAGGATGCTGGGATATCAGAAGTGGTAAAGTGGGAGACTGAGAAATGGCTAAACTGCATGGATATTTGGAGAGAGCACTAGTGAGCTATTTGTAGAGGTAAGAGACCTGCAAGGCCATATCTACTGAACAAAGTTAATTTTCAAAAGGTCAAAACCATCTGGGCAATTACATTGGAAACACCAAATTTGTCTATGGATACAGGGCAGGAGTTCTGAGTTCAGCAATTTTTGGGATTCTGGACCAGAATGGGGTCTGGTCCCTGGTCCCTGGTCCTGATCCCTGATCCTGATGACAGACCATATATGTGTAGTGAGCTACTGATCCATGTGTGTGCATGCAGGTGTGTGCATGTGTGACCACTAGCAAACAAGTTTTCATCAGCAGAACAAGTGAAGAAACACTGTTTGTCTGTGGTTGTTGTAAATGCTGTGGGTGTTCATGAGGATGTCTGTAGGGGAATGACTGGTCTTGCTGATGCATGTGGCTGGCTGTGCCTCTCACAGCATGTGTCTGTTCATGTTCCAGTGGAAGATGTGTCAGCATTGCCATGGGCAGGAATTACAAGAATGGCAGCAGAAGATAAATCACCTAGACTGTAAAGTTACGGATTAGGCTTGACATAGCTGAGCTAATCTTTGAAAGTCCTCTACTGCTACTTAATAACCGTGTTTGTTTACACTTGGAGATGGAGCCCCTATGGTGATATAGTAAGACCAAATTCAAACAGAGAAGTTGAAGAAGTTGCAGAAATGAACAGAATCTGGCTACCAAAAGTGAGATATACTTGTTCTATGCTATTCTTAACTCTTAAAATAAAAGCCTTTATTTCTCTCTCACTTGCCCCATCTATAACATATGCATGTATAAATACATACCAATGTGTGTATAAGTAGATAGAAATAGATAGTGTTAAGATAATATTGGTTGTAACAATATTTTTGTTCATCTTGAACTTTGGTTATACTTTGGTTATACTTTGCAGGGTGGGAGAATGTATCTCTTTGGGAGAGGACAAAAGCAGTCATGTCAAACCCATGGCCACAGGCTGCATGTAGCCCAGTTCAGCTTGCAATGTGACTTGTGTTCCATGCTGCCACGTCATCATGGGGACAGCTCTGAAAGATGCACATGGGGAGAGCACAGTGCAGTGCTGACAAATAAATCACTGTGCTTAATTTGCAAGGAAATAATCTCAGTTTCCAAATATGATGATTTGAAAAGACATATCACAGAATCACAGAATGGACAGGGTTGGAAGGGACCTGATATTAAGCTTTTCATCCATCAAGACCCCCAGATCCTTCTCTGCAGGGCTGCTCTCAAGGACCGCTCCTTCCACTCTGTGTGGATGCCTGGATTCCTCTGGCCCAAGTGCAAAACTCTGCATTTTGCCATGTTGAACCTCATTAGGCTCACCCGGGCCCACCTTTCAAGCCTGCTGAGGTCTTAGAATGGCACCCCTTCCTTCCACCGTGTCAACCGCACCACTCAGCTTGGTGTCATCAGCAAACTTGCTGAGGGTGCACTCGATTCCATAGTTGATGTCACTGACAAAGATGTTGAAGAGTACCAGCCTCCACCTGGACACAGAGCCATTGATGACCACCCTCTGTCTGCAGCCTTTCAACCAGTTTCTTATCCATCGAGTAGTCCACCCATCAAATCTACATCCCTCCAGTTTGGAGATAAGGATGTGGTGGGGGACCACGTCAAAGGCCTTGCTCAAGTCCAGGTAAATGACATCAGTCGCCTTTCCCTTATGCACCAATGCCGACACTCCATTATAAAAGGCCACCAGACTGGTCAAGCATGACCTTCCTCTGGTGGAGC